GCAGGCCTGTGAATCAGTAACTGCCTCCATTTTGAAAAAAAGAAGCCTCCATCCACGCAGAGTGGCGCGTGGTGTTGTGTGTGTGGTGCTGTAGCCCAGCAACTGCGCCATACTGCTCGGCGCCCCACACAAGAGAAATATGAAAAAACCCGTCTGAAACTGAAGCTAACGAGCCTGTTTTTTGGGGGGGTGGCGCACACTGCTGCGCTTTTAGGGGGGGGGGTGGGTGCCGCCTGTTGGAAGCCATGGCCTCACTGACGAATAGAACACCACGACCATTTTATTTAAGTGTCTGTAAAAGCCGAGGGGCCGTTATACAGAGATAACCCGCCCGCCTCGCGACAACAGCCTGGTCTCTACAGCCGCCATATCTGATACATTGTTTCAGTTAATGGGGCTCGAGTAACAATGTAGCAGAGTGAGGAGAGGAGTGTTCCGCAGGTTCTAGTAGCGGAGCCCTCGCGGACCCTGAGGCAGAATGGGGCCCTGGACCTTTTGTTCCCCCTCGAGCCCGAGGTTCACCATAGGTCACTTATGTAACATCATGACGGCTAACTTCTTCACCACGCATCATATGCAGAGGGTGGGAGCGTCACGGAGGTGGGGGGCGCTCGGCTATAGAATTAGCAGGCGGTGCATTGTTATTTAAATGTGGACGGCTGTCCCACCCAGGCCCTCAGATATTCAAGTCAGGTCGGAGTGAGTCAAGGCACCGTAACCAGTTTGTAGCTTACACCGCTGTGCCCCGCCCCTCCGTGTAGCCTAATCTTTGCCGCACGCGGCCACGTCGCGTTGCATTAAAATGCGCCCCACACCCAGCACAGCACACAACCTTCACCGCGCGCACGAGTACAGTACGGAATTAAGCGGGGGGGTCTCGGTTTGCGTGCACGTCCGCGCAATACCCCCTAGGATGAGAAGGAGGGGGCCCCCTCCCCTACGTCCTCTCCCTAACCTACTCCAAATAGACCACGTGGTTTCCCCTTTGCAAACAAAAAAAACGCGAATCGAGTCGGCGGAGGGGCGGCATCACCCCTCTGTCGGTAGCAAGCGGATCGCTGAAAGAGGGGAAGGCTAGGAAACGTGAGAGAGAGAGAGAGAGAGAGAGAGAGAGAGAGAGAGAGAAATAGAGAGAGAGAGAGAAATAGAGAGAGAGAGAGGAAACATTTTTTCCCGACCTGATCCCGCCATAGTTTTTCCCCCACTCATCCACCCATCACCAAATCCACCCAGTACAACCCACCTCCTCCACCGCGCGACAGAGAGGCTGTAGGCTGCTGCTGTATTCGTCTGCTGGGGCCGGCTGCAAGTCTTCTCCTGCTCCACTTCTTCAACTGGATTTACGGCTAAATTCAACGTTATCATCTGTTTTAACACTTTTTTTCTCCTTGTTTGCTGCGGAGAATTAACACTTTTTTTTAGACATCCTTTCCCATCTAGTGCGATTTCCACTCTCAGTTAGTGTGGCAATTTCTTGTTGCGCTTTTAGCAAATTCAGGAGAGAAACTTTTTTTTTTTTGCTGGCTTCAATTTCAGTTATTCCGGGCTTTTGTTTTTTTTTCGTTTTTGGACTTGGAAAAACAATTACCACCATGCACAAGCTGTATATTGGGAATCTAGGCGACAGCGTGACTGCTGAAGACTTGGGGAAAACCTTTGACGAACACAAGATCCAGTACTCCGGACAGTTTCTCATGAAAACTGGCTATGCTTTTGTGGATTGTCCGGACGACCAGTGGGCCATGAAGGCTATCGAGACGTTTTCCGGTGAGTAAATGTGGACTACTGACCGCCTTCCACCTTTTCAATTTCATTCATTCTAAAAGGGAGCGGTGCACGCCTCTGCGTACCCACCTTCGGCGGTGCGCTCCGCATGTCACTCCGTCCAATACGGAGGCTTCAGCTTGGACACACCGGTTAAAAATAAATACCGTTATTTTATTGACTCTAGCTTAATGGCGTCTGGTGAGCCATAAGCACAGGGGAGCCATTCAACTTTTATGGGGGAGGGGGGGGGGGGGCACACGTAACGTAACGTTAATAAACGTAGCCTAAAGCTAAAGCCTGAACCAACGTAAATCACTAGCCTACTTCACAATATTGCTATTGTAAAAAAAATACGGATAATTCTGTGATGATTGGGGCTCGTGCGTTTCAGACTTGTGTGTGTATGTGAGTGGCATTTTAATGTCTTGCACGCATAACATTGGACTGAGTGGCGGAGGGGCTACTCCTGTGATATAGTATGAAGCCTCCCCTCCCCCTTTGCGCCGGCAGTCCACTATGACAAAGATAGAGAAAAAAATATCTTCCCCCGTGCAGGTTCCTCTCTAAAACGGACCCCACACCACCACGAATACAAAGTGGTCGACAAGTGGCACCGTTATTGTGAAAGCCTCAGCATTGAAATCGTGAGATTTACACAGAATGTAACGTGAGGAGGCAAGGTCGCCATGTCAGCTCCTCTACTTCTTTTAGTCTACACGAAAACACTCGAACTCCTCAAGAGAGCACGTTGATACAGCGTGTTGACTTTAAATGAGACAAAGACACAGAATAATTCATATACGTATGGTTGTCATGCTGCATCTCTCAGGGGTCCAAGTAGCTCATTGTGGGACACGAGTGACGTGCCTACACAATTCACTTGTTCCATGACTTTTTTAAGTCGGCCCTTTTGAACCTCTCACCCATTCTTTGTAGCTCTTTGAAAAGCCGCGGTTTTGAAAAAATCAAAGTTAGCTGTTAGCTGCCCCCCCCCCCCCCCACAGACTTTAGCTATGTACCCTGAGTGCAGCACATCTTCACAATGGGCCTCCAAGTATCTGTTAACAGTTAGCATGTCGCCACAGTGTGATTTTGAACTCCCATTTTTTAAATGTTTTTTCAGGTAAAGTGGAACTTCAAGGGAAACGTATTGAGGTCGAGCACTCCGTCCCCAAGAAGCAAAGGTAAACAACATTTAGCATTACCCCCTACAGACAGTGGCCACTGTCATGGGTTGCATCAGTTTTGCCCAACTCTTTCTTTCATTAAGTCATAAAGTACAACGTATGGTGCGGTACTTTGAAACATTTCCATGCCTGCCTGTATTGACAGCCTTTTGGAGGTTGGGTTCGGAGCAATAGTCGGTCTAGCTTCGCTTGTTTGGCTGTGTATTTATTTTTTGTTGGTGTCGTTACTGTGGAGCCTCAACTTTGTCGGCCATTGCTGTGAAACTGAACTGTGACAGCTTTAGCTGCCGTGCTGGGTTGGCTAGCTGGGTTGTGTTGAGTAGTGAGTGAAGCCATAGAAGGCCTAGATAGTATTCTTCGTAAAGTCATTACATAAAGCTTTAAGTGCCCCCTTAAAGGCTCAGCCTTTCCTCCAGCTCCACTTTTATTTAACAGGGTTTTAAAATACACAGGGCAATTTAGCCTGCATTTAGGAAATGTGTGTCGTGTAGTTTTGTCCAGCAGCATGGAACATATTTTCCATTTAATTGTGCACACATATTGTTTTGTTGCATGTAGTGTTTTTTGGGCCAAATTGGCGAATAATTAGAAAAACGGATGTGAAGTGAACGCAATTTGATAGTTACGTTAGTTTTTTTTTTTTTTTTGGGGGGGGCGCTTTGTCAAATAGGTTTTATGCGACTTAACAGAGTCCTAATTGTTTCAATAATGTTGAATAAATAGTGCATACATGTTCTGCCGAATCTCATTCGTTTCTTGCAAAACCGCAGCTGTGTATTTATAATTGTAATATTGTTCAATATTATTTTGAGCTTTTTTTTTTTGCTTTTGTAGCACTTTGGATATGCTTTTGTTCAAAATCAAAACTACTGAATTGTCTTTTCTCTCTTCAAGTATAGTACATTGTTATGGATTCTGTCTAAGTTAAAACAGGTCAGGGGTGCCGATTTTTGCTCATAAAAAAGCCACTTGATTTCAGTCGTGATTGCAAAGCAAACGGACCTGTAAGCTCAGACCTTCCTCGGTCCGAAGGATAAACTGGGCTCCATTGTGGGTCAGCTGCTCTGTGCTAAGAGCCGGACTTGACCTGCTTTAAACAGTATTATGGAATTCGCCTATAGACCGTCGTCCATGCCGGTAACCTTTGGCACAGATACGAGGTGAGCAGCGAGCACAGTTGTCCATGTTCCGCCATTTGGCCTCACGAGCGCGCGCCCGCTTTTGTGTGTGCGTGTATGTCTCATGACAAAAAAAAAAGGCCAGTGAATGTAGATTTAAAGTCGTTTTGGTTGATTGTTGTCTCTGAATATATTTTTGGAACAATATATGAATTTGAGCTGGTTATGTATAAAAAATACATTTGCAATAAATGTGGCGACATGGTTGTTGCTCGGTTTTCTTTTGTAACAGTGTGGTCTTTTTCTGTGGACGTGAGGCTGAAATGTCAGTTCTGGTCACAGGCCATTCGCCATGTTTGTGAAACCAACATGGCAGCGGGGCTGTGTTCTCTAATCTCCAGCGGGTGGGTAAATAATTCTGTTTGTGTCCCACATCCTCCTCGGTGGTAACCCTGAAGAGCCATGGTGATAAAGGTGATTTTGTTTTTAGTGTGTGAGAAAGGGGGGGGGGGGGGCGCCGTGGGCGAGCTGGGGCCCTTCCGTGGGCTCCACAACACGTGGTGCATCCACGCAGAGGGGAGTCACTCCACGTCAGGCAGAGAGGGCAAAATGGCGAAGCTCTGAATGAAGCAGACCTGTTGTTTGTAGTTCACCCGGCTGGCCCTGTCCTAACACAGCTGGCCTGGCTCGCGCTCTATAAGTTGTCTCAGTATTTAACCGAATGCGGCACGAGCGGATTGTTAACGTTATAAAGCCTTCTTTTAAAATGGCCGCTCGTACGCTCAGCTAGCGAGAGCCAAATTTATTTATTAATTTTTTTTTTAAATGATCGTGTTAAAATGTTTCTGTCAAACTAACTGCTGAGCTTCTTCAGAGTTTGTGTGATGTTTGCGGTGACAAGAAATGTGTAAAATAATTTAGTGAACGTTTTTAGAAGGTCCCAATTGTTAAACAACAGTAGTGACGCATTAATTAAGGACAGCTTTTTGTTTTAGACGCCATGTTGTTTCTCTTTTATAAAAAATATAGCCCAAGTAACCTAGGTGATGAATGGGGAATTTTTATTTATTTATATATTTCCCCATAAAACTATTACAACATAGCAATCTCTTACATATGTGAATTATTTCCCTTGAATCAAATTCTGATACTCTGCTCTGGTGTGTGTGTGTGGCCCTCATGAAGTCAGTGCTTTCATGACATCTGTTTAAATGACACCATGATGTAATATCCAGTGTTACCAGATTGCCAGTTGTGTTATCCACCAAAAATATAACCTCTCCAAATCATAACCTTGCCATACACCTGTGTAAAACCCGTCATAAGCACAACAAAGCTTCATATCTGCATCAAATAATTAATATAAAATGTTGGAGAAATAGGTGCAACCATATGCTATAATTCCCGTGTCAATGATGACTATGACGTCAACATGGCAGGCCCCCCCCCCTCGACGATTGAATTCAACTGGTGTCAAGAAAATATTTCTCAAATTAAATGCGTAGACTCAACTGAATTTAACTGTATTTAACATCGGTGTTCTCAACCATAAAATGACGGCCTGTGTGGTAATATTGTCTGCACAATATTGTCTAAACCTCCTAAATTTCCCCTACCAGCCCCACGTCATCAAAAGTTGGCGGAAACCAGTCGGGCAACTCTGCTGATGTCTTAAACGCTAAAAGTTGCTCTGGTGCAGCTTTTCTGACATGGAACCTCCAATGGAGGTGTGTGTGTGTCTGTTTGAGGGAGGGAGGAAGAGAGGGAGGAAGGGAAGGGGGCGGGTATTCAGAGGGAACAAACCCTTAATGGGAGGGGGGAGGTGTCAGTCCTGTAA